CTTGGGAAGTTCCCTAAGAAGAGGGAACATAAATTAAGGTACTGTGTCCATCAGATTGGCCTGTGGGCATACGTGTCTGTGAGGCCTATTTAAAATTGTTAACTGATGTATGAGGGACCAGTCCACAGTTGGTGGTGCTGTCTTGCCCTGGCTTTCATTCAATGACAGATTGTCACTTAGAAATATCAGATGAAATAAGCCCTTTCTTTCTCAAGTTGTTTTTGGTGAGAGAGTTCCAATATAGAAACAGAAAGCTAATTAAAACAGAAATTTGGATCAGAGTAGGATACTGCTTTGACAGACCTGACTATGTTGTTTTGGGGAGGAGTATAGAAGTTTTGGAACTTTGGGCTAGAAAAGCCATTGAGTGCTTAGAGCTTAGTTAGCTGTTCTGTGGTAACTTGGAAGATAATGCTGAAGCAAACTGAGAGTTTGGAAGCCTGGCTTGTAGCAATTGATAGGGAAGAAAAGACACTATGTGGGCAGTTTATGTAATATTTGGATATCAAATCTGTAAAAGTGAAAGCTTGTGATTTACCAGTATAGTTTATGTTAGTTTAGCTAGGTCTGAAGCATCAAGTTCAGACCTGACTGACAAGAGACCAACATCATTGAAGAAAAGTGTTCTGGGAAGTATTTCTTCAGGGTCAGCACACAGAATCTGTGGTCCAGAACAGGTCCAAGGCTGCATCTTAAGCTGGTATCCTACCTTGGTGATATGGAACAGTCTTCTTTTCTATATGGACTGTTTTTGGTAGCATGGAAGTTGCAGAATTGAAGGGGTCACGGAGAAAAGTTGTGGCTTTGCATTGTGAGAGGTCAGGAGAGGCCATTAGTGAGGGTGCAGACTCAATTGCAGTATAAACTCCAGGACTGAAGGGGGGTCACTGAGAAACACTGAGGTGCGGCACCATGTGACAGAGTTGGAGCCTCTGAAGAGGCTGAGAGTCTGTGAAGGTGCAGCCTTGGCTTCGGTAGGAACCCCAGGATATTGGAGACACAAGATCATGGGATGTTCACCAAGTATAGCAGCAAGTTAAGTGTATGTGGCCTAAGACTATGAGACAGCTGAATACATTAAGACTGGCAAAGCCAGAGAAGTGGAGATGCCCAAGCCTTTTGCAACCCAGAAGTTCATGAGTGATTCTCAGATGTTGGATATTGAGGTAGAGAGCTGGGCATTGGCTTTGCTAGTTTGCCCAGTTATACCCTTTTGAAAAAACGAAAGTATTAAACTTATTTTTTTATTTTACAAGAACTCACAACTGAGAGAATTTAAACTTTTAAAGATAACTTGAATCTTTAAATCATTGGAATTTTAAAAAAGATTTGGGGACTTTTCAAAGTTGGATTTATTTTATATTGTGATATTAATATATTATACACAAGCCTGCATGTGTGTAAGTGGACCCATGTCATGCAGTGCCTGTGGAGGTCAGAAGAGGGCATTACGAATGATTGTTAGCCATGCTGGCAATTGAACCCAGGTCATCTGCAAGAGCAATCAGTGCTCTCAACTGCTGAGTCATTGCTCCAGTCCCATGAGATGATTAATTTTTTATCAATTTGACACAAACTCGAGTCTGAGAAGAAGGAAACTTAATGGAGGAATTTCCTCCATTTAACTGGCGTATGGGCATGCCTTTGAGACATTTACATAATTGTTTTTAATTTTAATTTAATTTTATTTTCATTTATTTTATTTTTTTAAAAAATTCTATTTATTGTTTTTATTTTATGTGTATGTGTGTATTGCCTGCATGTGTGTAGGTGCACCCATGTCATGCAATGTCCGTGGAAGTCAAAAGAGGCTGTCGGATCCCCTGGGACTGGAGTTACTGACAGTTGTTAGCTGCCATGTGGGTGCTGGGATTAGAACCTGGGTCTTCTTCAAGAACAACCAGTATTCTTAACTGCTGAGCCATCTCTCCAGCCCCCATTTCCATAATTGTTAATTGATGTGAGAGGACCCAGCACACTGTGGGTGGTGCTGTCCCTGGGCAGGCGGGCCTGGGCTGTGTAATAAAAGTAGCTGAGGAAGCCAGGGAGAGCAAATGCCCCTCTGGAGTCTACTTCAGTTTGTCTACACGTTCCTGATTTAACTTCTTGCCCTGGCTTCCCTCCATGATGGACTGTCACCTGTTAGTGTAAGATGCACTAAACCCTTTCCTCCTCAAGCTGTTTTTGGTCAGGGTGCTTAATCACAGGAATGGAAAGCAAAACATAACAATCATCATGCATAAATCTTTAATACATTTGAACCTATTTGAGTTACATTGGAAACTACTGTTTTCTTGAAGTATGAAATTTGGAGAACAGGGGCTGGAGAGATGGCTCAGCGGTTAAGAACACCGTCTGTTCTTGCAGATAGACCTGGGTTCAAATTCCAGCAGCCACATGGCAGCTAACAACTGTCCAGGGGATCTGACGGCGTCTTCTGTTCTCCGCGGGCAAAGCATGGCACAGGTGCATTTACCTAATGCAGGCATAACACTCATACATATAAAAAAAAATAAAAAATACAACATTAAAAAAAGAAATTTGGAGAACAGTTAAAAACACATAGAGAAGGGCATTTCAATAATATCATATGTGTACTTGAATTTCTGATGATGCTCCAGAATGTAATCTGGTTGTATTAAAGAGAAAAAAAATGTGTTTAAGACTTCTTGGTAGGGAATTATTATTACAAATATAAGGATGTTAATACAGAAATGCAAAGAGAGAAATTTAAGTGGTAAAAAATTTCAGTTACTTGTATTTATAGACAATATATAAACTTGTCATTAATAAAAATATCAACATGAACTACACTGTTATAAATATATATAAATATAAAATCTACAAGGAAACTCATTTCTGAGGAAATGATCGGTGATTTTCTTCTATACATGAAATATGTGGAAATCATGCTAGGTGCCATTCTCATTTTGTATGGAAAAGGAACTCTTTTTCAGGTGGATCATCAAGTCTTTCCTATCTTGAATGGAAGATGCAGAGGAGAAGGTCAGGGGAAGCTCCTGGGGTGAGTGTTTCTTTCTTCCTATGTATACAGTTACTGTCACTCCTCTAAAAGAACTTGAATAACCAGCATCAGCACCTGCTACACAGCCCCACCCCAGGGTGTGTTTGCCTTTCTCTTTGTCCTGTGTCTTTGCTGTATGGAAGGAGTCAGGCCAGGAGGGCCTTCTTGTCTCTACAAGGATGGTAAGGTTTTAATTCTACTGTTAACGATTTTCCCTAAAACGTTTCCAGCTCTGGTCTAATCTACTTTTTCAGTATATCTGTTCCCAAATACTGGACAATTGTGAGAAATTTCAAGATACTTTGGTCTCGCTTTCAGTGTTGCTCCAGGACTGAGGTTGTGGTCTGTCTTCCAGCTGCTACGCACTATACTATGTCATTCTCTGTAATCTCTAAAGAGTGGAGTTGTTTTGAAACAGGGTCTCACAGTGTAGTGCAGGATGATTTCAGAATTGTTTTTCTCTTGCCTCATCCTCCTTCAGTGCATGGCCAGGCTTACTGATTTGCACCATTACAAGTCTACAGAGAATTTTGATATGGCTTTTCTGGTGTCTTGAGTGCGTATGTTCTATTTATTTCTTGCTTATTTGAATTTACTTTATCTCCTGAAGAATGCTGTCATGACGTGCTTCATTCACCAGCTCATCTAGGCAGTGTGTCATCTCTCATCTGCTTTGATGCATAGAATGATGGTAATGGAGAAAAATACCTGAAGCTCCTTGGTGCTGGTGGAATACGATGTACTGAAAAGGGAGGCACAAGAATAAGGATTCTTGCTGCATAAATGAATTTATTTGATTTGTTTAATCTTTGTATTTTAAAAATATTTTTATTTATTTTTATTTTATGTGTATGTATTGCCTGCATGTATGTAAGTGCACCTGTATTGTGCAATGCCCTTGGAGGTCAGAAGAGGGCGTTAAGTCCTCCAGAACTGGAGTTACAGATGTTTGTTAGTTGCTATGTGAGAGCTGGGAACTGAACCAGAACCAGGGTCTTCTGCAAAAGCAGTCAGTGGTCTTATTTGCTGAGCCACCTCTCCACCCTTGCATAGATGAATTTATGTAAGCTAATTGTTTGCTTTATAGCACAATAAAAATGTTTTCAAATTTATTTTCATCAACCCATAAAATAATCACAAGTTTACAGAATATTTACATCGCTACTACATCATTACACTTGAAAGCAATTTTCCACATGCCTTAACCACTGTCACAGTAGTAAGCCTGAGCTTGATATGCAGTAAATGTTAATTAACAATAAACATGAATTACTGAAGTGAGAGATGAAAAGGATGTGCACCTAAATATATGTATATTTAATAATTAGTGTATGTTTAAGTGTACATTTGTATGTTTGGATATATTAAGTTGTAAAAAGAAAAAAAATGATTAGTATTCTCAATACCAAGTATTTGTGGGATAATTTCTTTATGATATTAATTGGTAATTCTGATACCTTGTAGGAAAAATCACAAAGACAAGCACAGGTCCCTTTACAGGAATGTTTTAATGCATTAAATAAATTTCTTATTATATTTATCAGTTTAGATTTATTTGCCTGTTATATGAGTGAGAATTTTGTAATTATGCTTGACTTCAAATTAACTAGCCAAATTTAAATATGTAGCCATGCAAAACAATGTAAATACATATATCTTTATTTTGATGGCAGCAAAAAGATTCCAGTATTTCCTACATCATGAACTACAAAGGATTTCAAGCTGCTGTGAGCAGACACAGTGTCTGGAAAGTCAGCTGTGAAAATGAAAAATTTCTTGAAAAATGAACAATTTTTGTGATGAATACTGTCAACCAGCTCATTAGTGAATTTTGATGATTGATTGATATTGTATATGGTAGTTCATGACAGTGATGCTGTTTTGAATTTTCAAGAATCTAATATAGACGACATTGTACGATTGCACCAACAAATCCTCAGCACTGTAGTAGAAATGGGAGTATCTTTTGTTGACAATGAGTGATATCTTGTGGTGTTTATTATTAACCATTTTAGGTGTAGAATTCATAATAGGAATTTTTGGAAATTTATTCATGGCAGTGGTGAACATCATGGACTGGGTCAAGAGAAGAAAGATCTCTTTGATGGATTTAATCCTCACTGCTCTGGCCATCTCCAGAATTGGTTTTGTGGGATCACTATTCACTGCATTTTTGATATTTATAATGTACCCAGCTTTAATGATGAATGAAGAAATGATGAATATATTGAATATTTCCTGGACAATGATTAATCATTTTAGCATCTGGCTCGCTACATGCCTCAGCATCTTTTATTTTCTCAAGATAGCCAATTTGTCAAACTCCCTTTTTCTTTATCTAAAGTGGAGAGTTAAAAACGTGGTCTCAGGGACATTGCTCTTGTCTCTGCCCATTTTGTGTATCAACATTATAGTTATAAATATGAATATTGCTGTTTGGATTGATGAATGTAAAACAAATATGTCCTTCAATTCTGTCTCAAATGACTATGTACAATTTTTCAAGATCTCTTTACTGACCAACACTATCTTCACCCTCATACCATTCACTGTGTCCTTGATAACATTTCTCTTGCTAATCTTCTCCCTGTGGAAACATCTAAGGAACATGCAGCACAGTGCCCAAGACTCCCAAGATGTCAGCACCACGGCCCACATCAAGGCCCTGCACACTGTGGTAACCTTCCTGTTATTGTACACCATTTTCTTTCTGTCTCTTGCGTTACAGTCTTGGAAAAATGAGGTTCTATATAAAAATCTAATTCACTTGTGTTATGAGGCTGCGGGACTTATTTTTCCCTCAGGCCATTCTTGTGTTCTAATTCTGGGAAACACTAGGCTGAGACAGACTTTTCTGTCCGCTATGTGTTGGCTGAGGTGCAGGCTCAAGATGCTGAACTCTTAGATCCCTAAAACTTATAGGAGACCATCTTTCACATTCTAGAGGAGGATCTGTTGTTCATAAGAAATTCTTTATCTTTAAATTTTTACTTTCTATATACTTTTTAAATATAATATTTGTTATATCTAATGTGACAATGTGTGAAATTGAAATTTTAAAAAATATGTTTATGAGCTGAGCGTGGTGGCACATGCCTTTAGTCCCAGCACTTGGGAGGCAGAGGCAGGCAGATCTCTGAGTTCAAGGCCACCTGGTCTACATAGTGAGTTCTAGGACAGCTGGGGCTACAGGGAAACCCTGTCTCAAAAAGACCAAAAAAAAAATGTTTATGAATTAAGCACTATAAAAACACATTACAACTTTGACTGACTACGAATAGATGTGTATTATTTTACAAGGACATACATGAATGCATAATATGTTAATATAAGTACTTCTGGTTTAATTGTCTACCATGAAATAGCATTTTTGAAATTTTAATGGGATTATTGGATAATATGTCAAATATAGATGCATCTGTGAGGCACAGTAAATGTGATCAGTGTTGCTTTTACCATGTAAGCATAATTTCAAAGTTATTAAATATTAAATGTCATACTGACTTGAACATCACATATAGTTAATGCATCATTTTAAATATAACACCAATTTAGAAGCTTCTAAAGAAATTTGTCTGTTTATTCCAAGTATCCTATCTATATTACTTAATCAGAAATCAAGAATTTTTGGAACATATCTGTCATTGGGAAATGCACTGGGTGTTTTTACATAGTTTTTATGAATGTAAAACCAGTCCATTTTAGATTTTTGTATCCAAGAATGTCAACTCCTGATGTGTTAGCAGCACTGAACACAGAGTGTGTTAATTGAATATTACATTGATAGACTGGTGGTCTAGTTCTGCTTTATATGAGTTTTCTAAGGTCAAAAGCATTCAAGCTATTATAGGAATAGAAATTTTTGATAACATTCACATAACATTTTGTTATGAATGTGTATTGTACTGATCATATGACAAAGTGAAATTTAAGTAAAATATATACATTGAATCAAATTTAGGTGAACAAAGTTAACATCACTTAATTAGCCGAGGGGAAGAGAAGAGAGCTGAATATTTTTACATGGTCATGTAGTCTGTGTTCAGTGATGCTAAACATTTAGTAAGACAGATCCATGTGAATTTTTAGAAAAGTAGGTTATTTTGTCCATGACTTATTTTTACAAACCCCTTCAGACATCTGAGTTTATAGTTGGTCAAGATTTTTCTCTTCTAATATAATCTCTTTATTAATTCAAAAAGAAATGCTGAGGGAATTTTCTGTATGTCTTCCAAACACAATTGACTAAAAAACTGATGCTGTAAAATATGGGCACATGTAACTGGTAGTCACAAAAGAGGATGTTATAGTATTTATATGGCTGATCACTTGTGTAACACACAGCTTTATAACATTCACATAATTGCACTGTTTCTCGTGTATAGAAGCTGATGTTCGGAGATATGGAAACATGTCCTTCCGTGCGTGATAGTGTAATTAGGAGCAGGAACAACAATCACAATGGAAGGAGGCTCTGCCCCAGATCCAGGTGACACATCTAGGAAAAAAAGCTGCTCAGAAACATATAAACAGAGTGTGAGAGTTCTGTGGTTTTATTTCTTCCTGTCATTTGATACCTGGTTAATGTGTCCTCAAACAAGTAAAGCCATTGTGATTTGTTTGAACTGAATTAATTACTCTTTGCACTGCAGAGACAAAATACCTGACACAAGCAACTTACAGAAGCAGGTTTTATTTCTGATCACAGCTGGAGGCTACTATCCATTATAGTAGGGTTGGTATGGCAACAGAAGTGTCAGCATAATGGATCTGCAGTTGGACACAGAGAGTGATGAAGGAGGATGCCTAGATAGTTTCTCCTTTTCATGTGCTTTGGAAGTTCATCCAATGTAATAGTGTGAATCACATTTGGAATTCATCGTCACAGCTCAATAACCTAATCTAGAATGTTCTTCATAGATATTGTCAGAAATTATCTCTTGGGTGGTTCTAGATTTTGTCAAATTGACAATGACTATTATCTTTCACAGAAGCTATCACTTTTCCTAAAACATGTTACAGGTATTGTGCCTATAGCTCATTCCATTGTTCTTTGTAGATACAAAATCCATCATCTATATATATTTATTTATGATGACTGTTTATTTTACTTTTCTTAATTATTTTTTGCGTTGGTTATTTAATTAAATGTGTTAAACATGTAAAAAAGTTGTAAGTATAAAATAAATAGATCTTGGTATTCATGAACAGTTTTAGTATTTGGCAAGAATTTTTATACTTTTGTTCTTTTGAAAATATGTTATTCTAAATCTGGACATTTTGGAATAGGTTGGTATGTGATTAAACCAAGGACATTTCCAGTGGATAGCGACTGATACAAGGAGATTAGAAGTTAGCCACAGCTGGGTTTGAGCCCTGACTGTACCACCTAGTAGTCAGGAAATGCGGGCAAAATGAATGATGCTCCTGAAGCTTTCTCTTCTTACGTGCAACATGGGCTAATGACAATTCATGGAATTGCTTCAAGTATTACATAAAATAAGGCATGTAGGCTATTTGCCTCAGTGCTTGGCAACACATAAGCACACAGGAAAAGAAAATTACTAAAAATATCTACCAATTTGTTTCTTACTTACATATACTTTGAAATTTTTAACAATTTTGTTCTTCTTTCCTTTGCTCCCAATCATCTTGCTATTTGAATTGACTGAGATGCTTAATGACTATGCTGGTTGTTACAAACAGGGGAGAGTATGAAACTGTATATTAAAGTTTAAAACTATGTAAGACTTGAAAACTATGAAGACTTTTTTCTTTGTTGACATGCTGTATTCAATGTCATATGAACTAGGTTGACAAATATTTCTACTTGTACTTTTCCAGTGACTGTGGACCGAATTCTGTTGAATGAGTAAAATTTGATGAAATAAAAATAATTGCAGTCAAACGTTAAAAAAAAAAGTTGTAATTTAAAACATTTCTGGTGGAAAGTATGCTGGTACAGCAGCCTCTAAATATTGCAAATGAGTTGACACCCACCCTGGAGTGGTCATTCAGTGATACAATTGTCCTTCAGTCACCATTCTCCTGTAAGTAACTCCCACCAGTTCTTCCGTAAATAACTACAACTAATTCATTGGTTCATCACATTAGACTTGGATAGAATCATTTCTTTGTTGTATTTTTGGTCCCTTTCCTGTAAAGAATAAGCATTTGTTCATATCTTCCTAGCAAAAGCCATAGAACAGCACGTATTACTAAAAAATGTGACAATCACTTCAAAGTCAAATTCAGAAAGTATCTATAAAGTGATAACAAGCAATGCCCCTGGGGGGAAATACTCACTATGAGTCATATGAGAAACCTCTTTAAAAGTCATATGTTAGAAGACATGTGCTTGATACTCCTGAAAGGCTAATTTCATTTTTCTTAACAGCTGAATAATATTCCATTGTATAAATGTACTATATTTCATTACCCATTCATCCATTGATGGACATTTAGGTTGTTTCCATTTTCTTGACATTGTGAATAGAACATGGATGAATTGGTGTCTGTGTAGTAGAATGTAGAGTCCCTTGTGTATATGTCCAGGAGTGGTATAGCTGGATCATTTAGTGGATCTATTTCTGGCTTTTTGAGCAACCAACACACTGATTTCCGTAGTTGCTGCACAAGATTACACTCCTATCAGAAATAATGTCTTCTCCCTTCCTCACATCCTGGTCAGCATTTTTCATCATTTATTTGTGGGTCTTAACTATACTGACAGGGGTAAGATTAAATCTCAAAGCAGTTTTAATTAATTAATTAATTAAAAAATTATAGATCACACACCTTCTCCCAGCTAGAGAGAAGGTGTATGACCATATGGAAATAGAGTCCTGCAGGCTCCTGGGATCCTGCTTATATGAACCTACAGCAATAGTGTCAGTATGAACAAGACCCATGCAAACTCAAACAGACAAAAACCCAGCATAGAACTGGAGAAATGGACAGCAGACCCCAATCTTAGCTGAAGAAGTATTGGCAACTGATTCAACTGCTGGGTGAAGAAGAGTTGATCTTCCTAAAACAAGGGATTCTAGATAGGCTGACTAGACCTCAGTAGATGAACTTACACTTAGGAATGTCTGGGGACACTAACCTGACACAATGGAACTTAACACAAATGACAGAATGTATGAATTCCAGTCGGGAGGCTATGGGATGGTGCCAGTGGGGAAATGGGTATAAAGATGATTAAGATTGATTGAAATGTTCTGTATGAAATACAGGAAAATTGAATTTTTGTATATTTTATACAGAACATCTTAATCATCTATATAGGAATCATCTTTGACAGTTGTGGCCTTTCAGGACCTGGAATTCATTCTTCCAGGTCCTTCTGGTTATAAAAGTTCTTGTAGAATAATCACGTATTATTCTAATGGGTCTCCCTTCATAAGTGAATTGACCTTTCCCTCTTACAGTTTTCAATAGCCTTTCTTTATTTCATGTTTTGAGTGCTTTAACTACACTTTGGAGAATTTCTTTTTTGGTCTTTTCTATTTCGTGTTCTGCAGAACTCTTGTACATGGGTGGTTAGTTCTCTTTCTGAGTTTGGGGAATTTTCTTCTATGATTTTCCTGATGATGTTGTCTATACCTTAGCTGTGGTAGTCTTCCTCTATACCTGCAATTCTAAGGTTAGGTCTTTCCATTGTTTCCCAGATCTTCCTCATGTTCCTTCAATATGTATTGTTTTTTAATGTCTAATTTACTGTTACTGAGTGATCCAGTTCCTCTACTTTGTCTTCCATCCCTGAGTTTTTGTTTTCCACATGATCTACTCTGTTAACGAGGCTTTCCAATGAGGTTTTTATTTGACTTGTTGAGTTTTTCTTTGTACCATTTCTGTTGGTTTTGTCTTCAGCACTTGCTCTGTTTGGATCGATGATCACTT